CTTTTGTGCAGGTTGAGTCAAAGTTATGAGTGTGTCCATCACTCAGATACCCGTTAGGTGTGAATTTACCCATCCCCTCCTTCCCCCTCCCACCGGCTTGATTTCCATTGAATTTTACTACCACATGTGCTCCTGAGTGTTGCTCTATTAGTTCCAATTTAGTAGTGAGTTCATGTGGTTTTGTTCTTCCATTCTTGTGATACTTCGCTTAAAAAGATGGTCTCCAATTCCATCCAGGTTGTTACAAAAGGCATTAGTTCACCATTTTTTATGGCTGAGTAATATTCCATGGTAGAAATATACCACATTTTATTAATCCACTCATGTGTCCATGGGCACTTGGGTTTCCACATCTTTGTGATTGTGAATTGTGCTGCTGTAAACATTCAGGTGCAAGTGTCTTTTTTATAAAATGTCTTTTTTCCCTTTGGGTAAATACCCAGTAGTGGTATTGCTGGATCAAACGGTAGGTCTACTTTCAGTTCTTTGAGGTATCTCCATACAACTTTCCATAGAGGTTGTACTATTTTGCAGTCCCACCAACAGTATATAAGTGTTCCTTTCTCTCTGCATCCATGCCAGCATCTGTTGTTTTGGGACTTTTTGATAAAAGCCATTCTCACTGGAGTTAGGAGATATATCATTGTGGTTTTGATTTGCATTTCTCTGATGATTGGAGACATTGAGCATTTTTTCATATGCTTATTGGCCATTAGTCTATCTTCTTTTGAAAAGCTTCTGTTCATGTCTTTTGCCCACTTTTTAATGGGGTTGGTCATTTGACGTTATCTTGCTGAATCACTTGAATTCTTTGTAGATGCTGGTTATCAGCCCTCTGTCGGATGTATAGCATGCAAATATTTTCTCCCACTCTGCAGGTTGTCTGTTTGCTCTGTTGATTGTCTCCTTGGCTGTGCAGAAGTTTTTTAATTTAATCAGGTCCCATTTATTTATTTTTGTTGTTGCTGCGATTGCCATGGGGGTCTTCTTCATAAATTCTTTGCCTAAGGCCGATGTCTATAAGAGTTTTTTCAACCTCTTCTAGAATTCTTACAGTTTCATGCCTTAGGTTTAAGTCTGTTAAAGACTCTTTCTTTATTCTTACAGCAAGTCCAAGACGTGTGGTGCCACATACTCAGTGGACTTGGGTGGAACACGCAGGGCACCCTGCGCCCAGACCACATGCTTGATACCCACCACATTGACCGTTTGCCATCACTTCCATCTGCCATTGCTAGCTCACTTCCTGTTCCTCAAATGTGACCTTTCTTTCCTCCGACCTGTCATCACACACTCTCTCTCTGTTCTTTTGGGACCCTTTCCGTGTCCTATTCCGTATTGTCTTTCTTTTTTATTTTTTTTTTAATTTCAGAGTGTTAAGGGGGTACAATTGTTTTGGTTTTATGTATCACTGTTGTAATGCTTGAGTCATGGCTATAAATGTGCCGATTACCCAAATAGTGTTCATTGTACCCATTAGGTAGGTTTTTGTCCCTCTCCTCCTCTCCCCTCCTCTCTGCTTGATTTTCCCTAAGTTTTACATTCCTCCGTGTCTAAAAGTAGACCTAACATTTGATCCAGCAATCCCACTACTAGGTATTTACCCAAAGGAAAAAAAGCCATTTTATCAAAAAGACACGTGCACTCAAATGTTTATTGCAGCACAATTCACAATTGCAAAGATGTGGAATCAACACAGGTGCCCATCATTCATGAGTGGATTAACAAAATGTGGTATATGTGTGCCGTGGAGTACTACTCAGCCATAGAAAGGATGAATTAATGCTTTTTGCAACAGTTTGGATGGAACTGGAGACCATTCTCCTAACTGTATTGTCTGTCTTTATCTGCATGTCTTCTTATCTTCCTGACACATCATAAGGCTTTTAAGGGCAGGTTCTACATCTGTTTTACCTGTTTTTTTTTTTTTTTTTT